TTAGGGAATTTCCAAAGTGGAATTCCAAGCATGTGGTGGGCTTAAGGTACCCCCCTGACAGGGGACTTGGGGTAGACTGACAGCTTGGGGTGGGAGGGTAATTTGGACCAAACCATCAACTTGGGCAATAACAGAACATACCATTAACAAGAAGCACAGTGCAACACATGGGGATGCTAGAAAGGTAACTAGTGATGAACCACACTGGAAATGTTTATGGTTCTTTTACCAGTCTTTGGGCCACAGAAATGAGGAACTGTGACCACAGTACATGCAGTGACTGAAGAAGCAAAAAAACCAAACTGGTGATAGGTTATGTTTTTGAAGCATTAAAGTTGTTTATTCAGTTCTAGTTATTATGTTTAGTCTCTCAGGATGTAGTTTTAAGGCATCTCTTTGTTTGTGTTTTTAACAGTACATATATTTCTAAAATCTGACTATATTTGGCAAATAAAAGGTTGCAGTACAGTTTTTCATGACAAAATTATTGTTTGGCTTTGCTTGCATTCTTTAGTCCTTAGTGTTAGACCTGTGATTGAAGCGTTTAATATGAATTGCCCTTTGCCTAAAGGAAATGTAGGTTATAACTTTGTAGTAATTATACTGAAAATTCACTGTATATTGAATCCCCTCAAGTTTTTTAATAGTTGTTCTGCATCTAATTCTAAGCTTAAAAACAAGGGTCTGAAGTCTTACCATCGTGGTACCTTTATTTATGAGGCTCTTTTTTTCTTAAATAACCTTTTCTTAATAGGCGGTTTATCACTTTAGCTGCTTCTGCTACCAGCAGTGAAGCTGGAATTTTGAAGCTGGAGGTATATACTAATTCTTGGTCAACTATTACCTTTTCATCTCAATGCTGGTGCATGACTCAGTAGCACAGGCTGGAGCTGCTTTGGGAGGGAGGGAAGAGGTGCTTGCTTTTGTGTTCTTGGAGGGTGTGGCGCAGCATTTGTGCTGAGGGCATGGCCCAGGGGCTCCCAGGCTCTCTCTTCTGCTCTTCTTACTATGGCCTGTAATTCCTCTTGTATCCAGTTCTACTTTTGAGCAGCTGTATCAGGGTCAGACTCTGGCCTTGGAGAATAATCTGGAAGCAGTGCCTTCGGTTTCTAGCCTGGTCCTTGAATATCTTTTATAGCAACCTGGCTGACACCGTCAGCAATTTTTGAAGTGGGAATGAAACTGGAATTGTGGAGTCCCTGATGTGGAAACATTTGTTTCCTGCTTTGCCCAGGCTGTGCACAGTGAGTGGAGCTAAGGGTGCTGCTGGATGTGCCCAAGTATACAAACTATTGGGACCTTATAAAATGATACAGACATGCCAGGGGCAGGAGTCTTGATTCTGTTTATTTCTGTAAGAGAAGTGATTGGCTGGCAGGCACAGTTTCACATGGTGCATGTGAGAGGATCAAATCAATAAACCTGTGTTCTGAGAAATGTATCAGTGCTGTTACTGCTTCAGGAGAGTTTGCTATGGACCTCTGGAAGCTGAAGATGCTTAACTCTAATTCACCAGTTGCTTGACAGTTTGAGGCAGAAAATTGGAGAGCTGGTGGGCAGTTTGGGAGGCTGTTTCTTCTACTGATCCCACCCTACTGCAGACGGCAGAGCATGGGCCCTGCAATAGCTCTTGTAGAGGCTGCGGCAACTGTCTGCAAGAATGCATGTGGGTACCTACACTGACCATTTAACAAGTCTTACATTTGAATTATTACAGAAAGCTACTATGCCATTATTTGCTAATTATCAGAACTGTTTTATTTGCTACCTGAGTAGCTTCTGAATACTACTGGGACCCCTGTGTAGCTACTGGGAACATTCATCAGGCAGGAAACTGGAGTTTGCTGGAGGCAGGAAGTGGCTTTTCATCCAAGTTATTTACATCTTCTGCTAGAAAGAAGGGTCAGGGCAAGGCTGGAAGCAGGAAGCTGATAAGCACCAGAGCTGCAGTTTGTGGCTGTCGTGGCTCATTAAATGAACCAGGAAAGATTTTATGAGAGATTTGGGAAGACTTTTGCAGAAGGTGAAGCCAGTGGCAGTTGAGCAGAGATTTGTTCCCTGCCAGGTGCCTCTCTCCTTTGATTTACTTTCTAGCTGTGATGCTGGCTCTATGGGCCTTTATTCCCTTTGCAATGTTGATGGAGACATGGAACAAACATTGAGAACTAATTACAAAGTCAGGATTTGTGCTGAGAGGAAAGAAGCCACAGCAGGCCAAGCACAACAGAGGATGGTGCTGTGCTGGTCTTGCTATGGGGTGTCTGTATTCTTTGGAAAGACCATCTAACCAAAACAGTTGGAAATGCTATATGTCACAGGCATGAGGATCCCCTAATAGGTTAGTTTGGAAAGATAGAGGTTCTCCTGGTGGTGATGTTCTGAAATTCACAAACAATTTTAGCCTAGATTAGATGCCTCTGATTTATGTCACTCCAAGTGATCAAAAGCATCCCTTCAATTTAGGGAGTTCCACCAAGTACTCTACAATGCTTCAGACACCACCTGAAATATTAACATGCTCCCTGACCTGCAGCAGTGACCTATATAGTCACAGAACAAACTGTTCTTCATGGAAGTGTTTGTGTAGTCACACCTTGACCATCCTCAGCTCAAGTTCAGTGGTGTGACCTCTGAGCGAAGACTCAAGGCATAGTTATAGCTTGTGGTTGAGGGGAAAGGTGGGAAGGCATGTCAATTTATAAAGGGAGGCTAGGCTGCTTTCTTTGCATTTTTTTGGTTGTTTTTTTTTTGTTTGTTTTTTTTAAGTAGGAAGGACTGGATTCATATTTGTCTCTACCTGCATTTTACTTTCTCACAATCATATCTGTCGTTCAGAAATGTTAAATCTGGCAGAAGGGGAGGGGTGGCCTTGAGAAGTGAAGCCGAAGATTTGGAACTGAGCTGATTGTAAAACAAAACATGGTCAGTGACACTGGGCATCTTGACTTGGTAGTGAGTGGCAGGTCTGGTGGCATAGTTGAGGGAGTGAGGGGGAAAAGGTGAAAAGGTGAAACTGTTCAGTAAGTAGATAGCTGTCTCTGTGATGAGGTGAGTATGATAAGTTCCAACACTGGAGTATCTTTTCTTGGCACTGGAGAGTTCTTAAGTCTGTGAAACTTTTCAGCCTTCTTTCATTTGAGTGCCTGATGATCCTCATCTAAGGAAGAAAGGATGAGCAGCCACAGGTGTTTCCCAAAGCATGTGCATTGCTTTCAGTGTTGTCTGGGTTTCAGGTTAAGTTAATTTACTCATGATGAGAACAAGAAGCTCTAACAGTTTTGAACATTAAATATTTTTCTTGGACTTTTTTTAGGTTTGGGTAGGAGCCATGCTTTAGTTCTGCCTTATTTCTTTGTCTATCATGATTTTGTGCTGGTGCACAAAATGAAGGGGGCATAAGAAATGACAAAAATGTACCAGTCCCAAGTAGCAGTTTTCTTGCACAGCATCAGTTACCTTTACCCAAGTCTAGCTGAAATAGCCCAAAAGTTGCTTAGATGTAGACAAATGCTTGTTTATCATGGTTTGAGTGATGATTATCATGCCATTTTAGGTAGGAATTGTTTGGATGCTTGGGTGATGGGGTCAGTTGATGGTAGATGCATGAGGCTAGGGAATTTACAAACTGTAAAAGGTTTTCTGGTGAGTCCTGGTGGAGCTATTCAGGAGATTACTTTGATCTTAAAGGGCTGAGACAGGGAAGGAGTATTCAAAAGCAAATAGGCTACTGACTGCAGGTTTAGTCATTGGGCAGTTGCAGGCTGCTGGCACTTAGCATAAATTCAGTCGAATTAAAACTAATTAAAAAACCTACCTCAAGAACTTCCCTTTTTATAACTTTTAATATGGTATTGTGTATTTATGCAGATTCTGTCCTCTGTATCATATGACAATGATGATGTTGCACTTCAGCACACCAGAAGTGAATTTATCAAGTATAATTGTTATAAATAGCTCACCACAATCGGGTTGGTCAATCAATAAGGCAATTTATTAATTTGTCAATAAAGGACGAGCAAGTAGTGCTGGGGACAGAGGGAGTCTCTGCTCCACCAACACGCCCACTTTACCCCTGGTCACTGGCTCTTTCATAGGCAGTTTCTTGTTGGGCTGTGTCAAGCCTTCTGTGCTGGGGTAGAAGTCCAGGCAAGCCCGAACATGTTGGCTATCTGCCAAGCAGCAGTGGCTGGAAGCCCCCCACCAGTTCTGGACAAAGATCCAACATGTGGCCAGCTTGTACTCTTAGCAAGCAGGTAACAGCAGTAACAAGTTTTCACATGTTCACACAAGCCCGCTGTCTCTTTATACATGAAGAGTGGGTACAATTCATAATTAAAGCAATTACATACATGGCAAAAATACATAACAGCAAAAGCTACCAATTCACAGCAAAGGGATTTAAACAAAAATAATGAAATCACTTTGTCTCATGTCTATGTTTTACTTTAAGATCAGTATTCCTGTTTATACTGATCCCATGGTGTGTTTCCATAATGACACGAATCTCTATGTAGCATCTCACATAATGACCACACTTTTATAGTTGTCATGTAAATTGGTTTTTTAGATATATTTTCCCATTAATACAAGTTGAATATGTTGCATTATAACATATTCTGGGAATATGAATGGGGCTCCTCAGTCTCGTAGTGAGAATTTCTGAGACTGCATGCAAGTTTTAACATAATCTCACAAAGATTTAGGTTTATAGCCTTTCTCTGAAGTGCTTTCAATTATTCAGAAGGAATAAGCTTCCATAATAAGCAGGAAAAGCTTGCTCTGGTTACAGAAAGCAGCAAAATCAAGCTGACCTCTGTCTAAAGAAAGCAGATTTCCTAGTGGCTACCCAAGTTTTGTACTGGGAACAGAACCTAGCAGCAGCAGCAGCAGCAAGATGTGTTCTTTTACAAAATAACTGTAGAGAAATCTCCGGTGTTGTCCATTTAGACATAAAATGCTACATTCACAAGGATTTACAGAAGGCTTCTTTTTCTTTGCAGAAACGGAAGGCTTCAAGATTGATACCATGGGCACTTACCATGGGATGACTCTGAAGTCTGTGACGGTGAGTGTAAAGTTTTGCTTAAATATGTTCTATAGACATGATTGTAAACATATATGCAATATATGTTTAGAGATAGAGATACCTTGTCTTCCTGACTTAGGCTCCAGAAGGTTACATAGGCTAGGTAACAATCGGTGAACATTCTTGTCTATGTAAATACAAAATGTGTTTTGTTTGATCTGATTGTTCTAGAGGTCTGTGCCCCAGGGATTTGTTTGCAGTAAAAAGGTGTGCTGGGAAGGCTTCTTGACATGCAGCTTTTTTCTGTTATACTTAACATATCCAGGTTTTTACTGATCATAGGTGTATCTGGAAAGGCCATAAGTGATCATAATCATAACTGATAAAACTATACTCAGAAAACTGAAGTAGTAAACCCGAGTTTTGGAGTATTGCTCTGTTTCCCATTCAGCATTTAATAAAATAAAATTTTTTGGTGGTGGAAGGGACCGCATTACTGTTAAAGCTTTCTAGCCTGGTGAGATGGACTTCAGTTGTATGACTGTACAATGCTGTCAGCTGGAATTGAACCATTCACAGATGAGAAAGAGAGACCCTCAAAAAGATTCCCTTTTCTTGCTTTGGCCAATGTTTGTCTGCTTTTGTGGAAGTGAGTTGCATGCTCTCAAATAAATGCTGTTTTGATCTGCTGGTAAGTATAACAGATGCTACAAAACTGCTGTAGTTCTCTCATTCAGGTTTTTGCCAGCTGCATACCTATGTAAATGTGATGAATAGACAGCACTAAACACTCTCCTAAAACCATGCACTACTTCTAGCTTGCACTTCTCATTTGAACATAAAATAGGATCTTGAATAGAAATTTCTGAAAAACATTCAAAGGTTGTTTTTTTTAAATGAAAGTCCTTTCCCAAATCTTTCATTTTTAACTCCTCTTGACTTAGGATAGTGTAAAAAAAAATAAAAATGGAAGGGAATATTTAAGGAAAGAATCTATTTAGCAGTAAGTAGTGTAATTTCTAGATGAATTCAGAAATTGATAGGATGAAGAAAAAAGATAACCTGTTATGTCTGAAGATTTGTTCTCAAACTTTGCATTTTGGGCTGCTTTATGAGGAGCCAAAGTGTTGTTATACCAAATCCAGGTTTCTATGAAATAGCGTATCTGCTTCAAGAGGTAGTGATTAGAAATGGGTTAATAAATAGATTCTGTTTAAATTGCTCTGTGGGGAGAAAAAAGACAGGAGAAAGAAAAAAAGCAAGATTATACTAAAGCAGAAATGTTGAAATGTTTTAAGCTTAATCTGTGTAAAATCTGTAAAAGTGAAGGGATGTACAGTAACTCTAAAAATTATTTTTTTTTAAGGTCATAAAAGGTTGGGGGTTTTTTTAAGAGTTTTGAGGTTATTAAACTGTCCTTGTTGGTTTCTTCCATTTAGGAAGAAAATATAATACGTATTAAGTTACAAGTAAACCTTTTTTTAACATAAACCAGAATTTTTTGAAATAACTGTTTAAGAGTGCATGACTGCACATAAAGCATTATCTGGTATCATAAGAAATATTAAAACTCCATCTGTCACTTAGCTTTTGTCTAAGAAAGAACTGATGAGGCATTTCTGGAGCCTTATTTCCACACTATTAAAGAGGTGCCCTCAATATTTAGCTCATTCATAAATTGCAGTGACATCCTAGCTTTGTGTTTCAGATGGGGGAGAAATAATCGGTTAATTATGTTAATCTGTTTTTGTCTAAACTTTGTCATAGTGATGAAACACAGAATTCTAACTCTTAATATTAGATTGTATTTTTGTGGAGAATAGTTAATCTCCTGCCACTTGGCAAGTTTCATATTTTGCTTGTACTCGAGGTTTCTTGTGGTTTATTAGGGCTTTTTTATGCTACACAAAATTAGGGAGGAAATGGGAAAGTAATTGCTTCCCCTAGGTGTTTAATGTGAAAGTATATTATACTCATTGGCTAAATCATAGGAATATGGAGCATAGCATTGGAATTCATTCCGCCTGCATGAGCTCATCTGCTGTCCTCATAGTATTGGTTTAATCCCTGTAGGAACTCATCAAACATTTCAAAGGAATTAGAGTGCTAGCTCCTAGTTAGTGACTCTATTCAAACTTCAGACCTCTGATTTCCAGATGGATGCTCACATTTGAAAGCTTCTTTTTATATGCCATTGTTCTCCTTGACATGATGGCTACTCCATTTTTTTCTGTGGTGCTTGCTTCCATTAATGTATTTCTGGAGTGTGGTCAGATTCCCTTAAAACTTACAGTTACCTCCAGTGTAAAGAGATCCACTGTTTGGAGTTGCACAACTGTTTCTCTTACAGAATTTGTAAAAAGTTTCTTGTTTTGTGTTATATTCCTTACATTTGCACTCTGCCTTATTGTAATTCTCTGTAATGATTTTTATGAAATGTGCACAACTTAAGTTTTGTGTATGTTCTTGCTGAAATGTGAGCTGTCCTAGATGCTTGTTCTTTTTAACAGCAAAACAAAAACTTCATCTTGACTGCTTTCTTTTCATCAGTGATGTTGGAAATTTTCTTAGCATTCAGAATTTGTGCCAGAGCAGATGGTGAATGGTGGGCTTTTTCTGAAGTAATGTCAGCTAAAATAACTTGTGCTGCTGGCAGTTCTTTCCTGTAACAGGGTTTTTGCTTGATTGCCACCCTATCTCTTAGGAAAAACTTATTTATTTATTGAATTTTTATTGTGAAGGCATGATCTCATTATTCTGGACCTGGAATTGTTTATAGGCATTTTCCCCAGAAATATTTTTAGGTTTTTTTTTCCTTTTTTTAATACCTGTGGCACGTTCTATTTGCCTGGCTTGATGGTGTTTTGGAAAATTATTAAGTAAGCTCGTTATCGTAGCTCTTGCTGTCTGGTTCCCCAGCAGTTCATGTAGCGAACCATTCAGCATGACTTTTCAAAACCTGCAGGTCTCCCTGCAGGCTTCATTTCCAAGCATAATCCCCAGTGTAGCAGAACAACTTCAGTTCTTTTACCTAGGAAAGTTTGGTGTTTGAGGTGGATCAATCTTCGTTGAGAAGTATGTTTGTATTTCTGTACCACACAGGTAATGCTGAGAGAGAATCTCAAGCTGATACTCTCAACATTTTTTGTTGTGTAAATTTGACGTGTTTGTGGCTTTAGTCTCCCACTTTTCTTAAGTATAATGTTAACTTGGAGGCCAGTGTCATCTGGTGGAAGCCTAGAAGGTGGGTCTTACCTTTTACTTACAATGAAATTGAATTTTGGACTATTCATTTGTGTAACTAGGCTATGTGAATCATTTAACTGTTAGTGTAGCTCAAGATGTAAAGATCAGACCAGACCAGTTACCTGCACCTAGGGCAGCATAGGAAGAAGTTGCTTGTTCTGTGAGCACCTGATAAAGCTGGCTGTGGGCAACTTGCGAGCTAAACTCTTCCAAGCTGAGGGCATGCTTTGTATTGACTGTGTGCACTTGCAAACACTTGTTTATCCATTGCAGTAATAGTAGTGGTGATGCTGGTTTTATTCATCTTTGTGCTTTTATCCTGGAGTTCTCATGGCTTTAATACAGAAGAAATAGCATGAAAGGCTGTGGAGTTCTGTAGGTTCATTTCCCCCAAGTTCTGAGCGCCCTTGGCCAATCAGGAGCTATGATTCAGGGTGCTGGAAACTTGTGTTCAAGTGAACAAGGACTGCATAGCACTGCAGTAGGCCCTTGTAGAAGTTATTTTTTTGTCTTTCCTAATTGCTGGAAAGCTCTCATGTTTTCAACTTGGGGTTTCTTTTAGCATTCAGGGCTGCTGAAGCTTGGGAGCTTCTTCCCTTGTCTTTGGTTTTTGCTGCTAGTAATGGAATGTGTTATGGATCATCTACACACATAAGCAGCCAGAACTACTGTTGGCATTTCTTTCTTTTCCTGTTCAGTAAACAGGTAGGTGCAAGAGCTCTTCTAGGATTGAGCTGATGGCCGTCCCAGAGTGTCTGGAGCTATATCTGGATGCTTATAACAAATTCAAATGCAATTTTCTGTGGTGTATTCAAACTTTGTAAGTAAGAAATTCTGTGTAAATTTTCAGTGCTTCTGAGTTGAGTGATATTTTTCCTCCGAACTGACAAAACATCTCTCTTACCATTGTACGCTGCCAGGCTTTACAGCAATCTCTGGGTAAAAGTGCCCTGAGTAAACATATGAATATATCAATAATTAAAGAAAATGCATTACATTTCATTTACAACAAGTACATTTCATAATCCTAACAGAAGCCAAGTAATTAAAAAGGAGTCCCTATATAAACCAGAGTACAAGCAGGTCTAATTTCAGAACTGGAGACTGGTTCAGCACCCCTAAGGTCAACACCATTTTTCGGTCAGTATCAGGTTTGGGGAATTAATTAATCAAAGGATGTTACTGTTATTGCCCTCAAAATCTTTTGAGCTGGGTAGAATCTCTGTAATTTTTTTTTTTTTTTTTAACTGAGAGGTTGTTTAACCACCTCTGGTGTATTTTCAAAGGAATAGTGTGTAGTATAAACAAACAGGATTACTAAATTACGGCACTTTACAGACTGAGCCATTGGAGAGGGAGCATTTGGGGCAGAAAAAATTAACATGGTGTGTGCCTGTATTTTATATGAAAGAGTTAAGAAAATTGATATGCTTCTGTGTGAGTAGGTAAATCTACAGGATCCTATATGTCAATCAATCACAATTGATTGTGAGGCATTTGTGATTCAGTGCCAAAATTCAAAATGACTGTTTTGAAGCATATCGTGGAGTTGGATGTTGTCTCTCAGTGGTCAGATAAATAGTACTTTAAAAAAGAAATAAAACATAATACATCTTTAGTATGAGATATGGAAGAGAGATACCTACTTATCCACATCAGCATTTTTCTGTGTCATGTCCTAATCTCATTAAAGTGTTGAACAATGGGATTGAGGGAGGAGTCAGCAAAACAATGGACTCTTTGAAATGTTAGAAACAGGCTCTGAAGTGCCTTATAATTTTTGTGCAGCCTGT